CAGAACATGAAACCCAGGCCATGCATACGCACCTGGAGTCAGTGTTGATTGTCAGCAAGAATCAGAGTTCTAGCCCTTGCCAAGCAGGAGAGAGCTTGCAAGAGCAAAGTCAGCCCTGCTGGAATTGTGCTACCTCAAGATTTGGGGTGGAAGGTGAAATTCTCTGTGTATTTGTAGGGGTGCAGAGGTATGTGGGTGGTGGTGTGTGTCTGTGTGCCCACCATGTCATGGAGGTTGGATTTCTCTCACCTGTTCATCCATCTCTCCTTCCCACTACACAGTTACCTCTGCAGTCTTCAGCACTGGCTCTCAGGTGTGGTAAAGCAGTCCCTGGCCAACAGGGCAGGGACGACCAGGGGTCTTCACTCACTGTGGGGCTCTTTGAGTGGCTGTCCTTCTTGGCGTTTTACCCGTTGCTTGCCTGTCACAATAGTTTTACATTTGTGATGCTCTGAAAGATGCTCTGAAATCTGTAGCCATCTCCTTGAGAGATGCGTGCTCAGCAGGTGGTACCAGGCAGGGCTTTGTCCCGCCGTTCCGGTACCAGCGCCCTTCCTATGGAAAGGATTTGAAAAGGAAACCTTGACATTCGATTGATTTTTTAATAAGCACATATTTAGCTGTTAGTACTTGAAGTACAGGCTGTATTATACTCTTCCAGCTAGCAAACAGTGTTTTAATTGATTCCACTCCTAGATAATGAACGCAGGGTATCTGCAGGTAATTCTGCAGCAGCCTCCCTTTGTGTAGATGCCAGAGATGCACCTGATATTTACAAGGTTGTAGCCAACACAGGGTAGTGGGGAGAAAAGAAGCAAAGGCATGGGAAGGACCCTCCCTCTTCTCCCCTTATACATCTGTCCAGCTGCTTCTCCTTCCTACTAGTTCTGTCACCATATTTTGGGGGGGTCACTGCAAGGATTTTTTTTTTTGCCCCACTTCTAAGTGCAAAATGCAGACTAGGATGTATTGTTTGGTTGTTAATCTTGTGGGAATTCCAGTAAAGATCGTGGGACCGAGTGCTTAAAATTGCAACACAACTTAAAAGTTTTAGAATTCATAGTTGCCTCCCACTCGGTGAATATATTTCTCTGCTTTTTCTAGGGATGCCTAGAATTTAAAATGCTTTCAACAAGAGATGAATAAGTCTCTGCTCGTCCACCAGGACTTCCTAAAGAGTGAGAAAGAAAACATACTCTCCTTTCCTTCAAGTAATGATGGCCTTGAAGATGATGAGCATAGTAGCTGGCAGTTACCCACTGCTCCCTAAAGGGTGGATGTCGGGCTCCATGTCTTACATGATCACCTCATTTCATTTTCACAACCACCTTAGGAATTTGGTTCTATTATCACCTCTAGTTTATGGATCAAGACACTAACACACAAGCGGACAGGCAACCTCTCTTAGGCCACACGTCAAGGAAGGGATGGTGCCTGAACTTTGAGCTCAGCTCACTCTTTTAAGCTTAACACACTCTACAATGGCTGAGGGGTGCAGATGGGGCATTTTGTAGACCAGGTGTGTGGAGTGGAACAGGCCCTGCCAGTCCTGTGAGTGAGCTACCTAGGGTAACTTTGTGTCTGGAGCAGTACAGCCTGAATGGCTGCCCTGCTTTTTGTAGTATATTGATGCATTTCATTTGGGCCGCTTGCTTCCTGATACTTTTCTCTCAGCCAATTAAAGCCTCAGTGAGGGCTGAATGTTGTAATTGATGAAAAGCAGTTAGTTTGCATGACATTTCTGATTGGCCTCCATACCATACTATTAAACAGAACAGTGGATATTTATTCAGTGCTTATGACGTGCTAGGAGCCATGCTAAGTGTTTTATATACTTTGTCACTTTGGGTCCTTGCGGTGATCCTGGGATGTGGCTACAAAAGTCACTTATTATGGTCTAACAACCAGCATTTTTAAAAAAACATTTTAAGTTCTGGTATACATGTGCAGGTTTGTTACATAGGTACACATGTGCCATGGTGGTTTGCTACCCCCCTCAACCCATCATATAGGTTTTAAGCACTGCATGCATTAGGTATTTGTCCTAATGTTCTCCCTCCCCTTGCCCCCCGCCCCGCAACAGGCCCCAGTATGTGATGTTCCCCTCTATGTGTCCATGTGTTCTCGTTGTTCAGTTCCCACTTATGAGTGAGAACATGCCGTGTTTAGTTTTCTGTTCCTGTGTTAGTTTCAACAGCCAGGATTTGAACCAGGACTTGGTAGAGTAGGCTCAAACCTCTGGAGCCTGTTCTTCAAACCTATCATCTTGCTGCCATGTTGCAACTTCATTTTCTGCTCTTCCCCATCCAGTTCCCTGTCTGCTCCGGCTATAGGACGGCTCCCTGCTGTGGGTTTAACATGCGAAATGATTTCCTACCCCAGGGCTTTTGCACAGCCTCTTCTCTCTGCTTGGTGTACCATACCGTTCCTCCTTTCCCCTTGGCAAACCACACTTCAAGACCTGGTTCAGATGTCACTATGGGAAGCCTTCCTCATCTTCTGTGGAAAGAACTGGTTGCTTTTTTTCTGTGAGGACTTCTCATTGCTCTCCCTAGACGTTGGTGTCATTAACTTGTATGTCCCGTATAGTTGTCAGTTCTTTGAAGCAGAGATTATAAGGGAAGTATCTCACTAGCACATGCAGTTTATGTTTATTGCAGTCTCCTCAACACCTAGTCCAATCACTGGAACAGAGTAGGTGCTCAAGAACGTAATCAATACTCATTGCGAGAATGAGTCTCTGTTCCTCGTGCCTTGGCTGGAGGAGAGTAGACCATTGAGTACATAGCATAGGAGCTCAGTACATTTTTATGGATGACTTCTTATCTTTCTGTTATTTCTCTTACCTCTTGTTATCTTCTGGTTCTAAACAGCATTTAGTAGAAGATAGGATAATGTTTCCAGTCTGGGGTTGGCAAACTTTTTCTGCAAAGGGACAGATAAGAAGAATTTTAGGCTTTACAGGCTATATGGTCTCTGTCACACCTACTCAACTCTGCTCTTGTAGCATGAGATAAAACTTGATGTACAAAACAAGGCAGCATGTTAGATTTGGAACACAAGCTGTAGCTCGTGGACCCTTATTGTAGAGTATGCTTGTCATGACAAGTATTGGAAAATGGTATTTGGGCTTCTCTTATCACAATCAACATTATCTTAGTTGCCTAAACCACAGTCTTAAAGTGGGCCTTGAAGAAAGTCTTCTCTTTTCATTGTCATGCATAGTGTTTCTCTGAATGCATCATTGATAGCCCATTTAGCTGACATCTTACTGGAGAATTACAGTAGAGTTACAGTTATGTTTTGGAGTCAAGTATATTGGATTAGCATTCTGTGTTTGTGCTGTGTGATCCTGGGTAAGGTACAGAGCCTCTCTGATCCTCTCTTTTGTCATCTGTGATACTGGTCTTAGATCAGCATACCTACCTCCAAGAGTTTTAATGGGCTGATCCAAGAAAAAATGTTCAGTGTGTTTCAGTGTGTTTAGGGATTGAACAAATATTAGTTACTTTATCTTCTTATGGGCTTTTATTCAAAACCTCAACCTTTCAACTGAAACGTGGAGATATACACTGTGAAAGTCAGTGGAGCTCAGAAAGGCCCCCAAGTCTATAGGATTCTAGAAAGAGTCTTCGAAAAGTGAGAGACATTTAAGTCTGAGGAATTCAGTGCTTCTAACTGTCTCACTATTCTCTTTGAGAGAGAGGGTGAGAAAAGTTTGACATTTCATTTTCACACCTGTAATGTTACAAGTCTAATGCAAGCCTGGGAATCAAAGGTGGCTATGACGTAGAGGCATGGAGAAATGGCCATGGCAGGGTAGGCGCTGGGCAGACCAAAGTCGAAGATGCCACATTCAGCTCTGCTGGGCAGGTACCTTTGAAACTACAAGCGGTGAAAGGGATTCTTATGAAAGCTCTGGGATGGCAAAGAGTAAGTATTGAGATTCTCCATTAGGAAAAAGATGAAATTGGATCAGACCACCATACATAGCGATGCATGCCACATACCGTATGTATATACATTCCTCAAGGACTTGTGTGTGTGTGTGTGTGTGTGTGTGTGTGTGTGTGTGTGTGGCTTACAGCAAGTAAATGTCACACAAAACTACTGCTGTCTGGTTCCTCATCTACCCACACTTCCCCAGTTTTGTTCCCAGACAGGCTCTCTGCAGAACATTCTCAAATGTCTCTGTTCAGTTCAGGCTGACTTCTGTGTTCCTCAGCTCCGGCACCTCCATATTTTTACTGCTGAGCTTTAGTGGTCTTTGATATTTTATGTCCTGGGTGTGGGGTCTACTGTAGCTTGGCAGATTGAGATGCTCCTTCCTGTCCAGTCCCATAGTTTTTGGCTCATAATACTAAAGAACATTTAAAACTTGAATTTGCCTTGGTTGTGAATTTGTCTCCCTAATAGACGAAAAGCTCTTTGAAGACTGGGGTTGTGCCTCATAAACCCCTTTAACTCTCATCCCTAGCATGGTGTGTGGCACTTAATAAAGGTTTGATGAATGTTGCTGAATTTGAAAATAGGAAATTATTTATCAATGGGGAGACACTTTCAAATTGACAAAGTGAAAATATCTCGAAATGCTGGCCATGCAGGAAAACAGACTTAAAAAAAATTCAATAGCTTGAGGGATAAAAGTGGTATTTGGTGTCATGGATGAATTATGTAGAGGTAGATTCTGGGCTTTCTATGTACTTGTCACCGAATATTGCACATTGTACCCAATAAGTAATTTTTCATTCTTCACCCCCTGCCATCCTCCTCTCTTCTGAGTCTCTGGTGTCCATTATACCACTCTGTGTGCCCCTGTGCAAAAGAGATTTTGTGCTGACTTCAACATACAGTGACCTGTCCCTTTAAACCAACCTGCCTAAACCCTTGATGAATCTCAGAGCATCTCGGTGACCAAAGCAACATCACCAGAGACTTGCTGGAATTAGTTGTGAGAGCCCTTTGGATGGCTTCACAGTTTGGGATTTAGCAAACATGGACCAGCTGCCTATGTGCCAGGCACTTTCTCAGTTGATTCAAGACCTTCTGAGATAAGCGTTACTATTCTTTTTATCTCTCAATCAGCAATAATCGTGCCTCGGATAAACCTCATTGGCTACGATACTGCCACTGTGCAAAGCTTCTTTTCATCTTATAGTTGGTAAAACCAAGGTTCAGAAGATTAAGCAACTATCCCAAGACTTACAGCCCAAGGGTTGCAGCAACTAAGATTCAAACTCAAGCCTTCTGCCTTCAAAAGCAGTCTCTTCCCTTGCTACAGCAATGGTGGTTTAGAGCATGAACCCTAAGGCCAGACTGCCTGGGTTTTAATTCAGACTCAGTTGCTTATGAACTGTGTGACCTTGGACAAGTTACTTAATATGTCTGTACTTCACTTTCCTTCTGCATAAAGTGAGGATTATAAGAGCTTCTACTCCATTATGTGGATGAAATAATGCAATGTGTAGGAATTGCCAAGTGTGCGTGGCATACAGTAGGCACTGCATAAGTATTCATTATGATTACATTGGAGCCCTTCTTCCTCCTCCTCCTCCCCCTCCCCCTCCCCCCCTCCTCCTCCCTCTTCCTCCCTTTGCCCTTCTCCTTTCTTTCTCCTTCTTCCTCTTTCTTCTTTTTCTTTCTTCTTTCTTCTTTCTTCTTCTTCTTCTTCTTCTTTTTTTTTTTTTTGAGACAGAGTTTCTCTCTTGTTGCCCAGGCTGGAGTACAATGGCGTGATCTCAGCTCGCCGCAACCTCCACCTCCTGGGTTCAAGTGATTTTCCTGCCTCAGCCTCCGGAGTAGCTTGGATGACAGACATGTGTCACCACGCCAGGCTAATTTTGTATTTTTCATAGAGATGGGGTTTCTCCATGTTGGTCAGGCTGGTCTTGAACTTCTGACCTCAGGTGATCCTCCTGCCTCAGCCTCTCAAAGTGCTGGGATTACAGGTCTGAACCACCGCACGTGACTGGACTACCTCTTCTACATGCAGTGCCTACCTGAGCTATAAGTTGTGTAGTTTCACCTTCAGAATCTTGCTGGGCCAACTGGCTGATAGCAGTCTGCTTGCATGCCACAAAGCACTCCTCACCCACTGTCCCTGTCTCTGGTAGCACTACATTTTCAGGGACACAGACACCTTTGCTTTATAATGCGTGAGCTCGTAGCATGGTATCTGGTGGCTTTGTTATTTTTCTTCTGCAAGATTATGCATCTCAGGGATTTTTCTTTTAGCATTGACTAAATAGAGTGTTATTTATGCAGGGGCCTTGGTGACTGAGCTGCTGTCGCACTTACCACGTTTATGTATAGTTTGTGAACTGGCAGATTGATCCATCAAGGTTTCTAGGAGCAGAAGTGCATTTCATTCTGTTATTCTATGAAGACCTTGGCTACGCTGTCTGTTTGATGTGTCGGAGGATGGTTTGCTGAGGGCCCCCAGCTTACAGGACATCAATACTGAGGATTCTAGAGAATGGATTTGGACAATAAGTGTTGTTGGCATGTGTCTGCAGGATGAGCAGCTGTTGCCTGCCTCTTGCTTTCCCATAAAAAAGGCAGCATGTGACTGCAGAATGAATGCTCTGTGGTTGAAGGGACACTGATTCTATCATTAAAAAACATCAGGGCTTGTTATATGGTTTAGTAGGAAAATCTCTTCCTATGTCAATTCGAGCATCTCACCCTTACCTACTTGTTGGCCCATTAAGTACAAAATGAACTCCAGACCCCTTAGCACAACATCTAAGACCTTTACCATTCCAGGTACCCCAGATCCTGCTGTACTGGAAAAGCCACTCCATCCCCACCACATGCACCTCATAATCACTTTCCCCTGAATTTCTTGGCTGGCCTCCAGATAGCTTACAGTTGCTCACAACTTTTGTCTGTGCCCATGTTCTTCGTTTTTTCTGAATGCTCTTCCTCCTCTTTGCCAATGGCAAACTCCTACTTATTCCTCAAAATCCAGCCCTGATAGCACCGTGGATCTGCAAACCCTCTAAGCCGCATTACTTGCCCTGTCTTCTGTCCTTTTCACCCATGCTTTTCTCTGCTGTGACTATGAGTCCACTTCCTTTTCGTTATGTCTCTCCACCAGATCAAATTCCGTAATGGCACAGACCGTTTATCTTGGAACTCCTGATACGGTCTTAGTCCTATGTTTTTTGACAGGAGTGAAAAATGAGTTAGAAGTCCTGGTTTGAAGTCTGGTTTCTGCAGGGCCATGCATACTTGGTGAAGCTCAGCTTTGGGTCCAGCAGTGGTATTTTGCCGAAGAAGTTAGCCTCCTCCTCTCAGACCAGGGGTCTGGTCTTTGGTTGTCTTGCAGCCTTAGTACTGACGGCTGCTTCCTCCTTTTGACTCCTGTATCTTGTTTCAGCTTGGAGTTTTCCTAACACAGTGATGTAGGAACATGGGGCAGGAGACACAATCTCAGTCCTCAAATGTTTGACTCATTCACACTGGTTAAGGCCGGGCGCGGTGGCTCAAGCCTGTAATCCCAGCACTTTGGGAGGCCGAGGAGGGCGGATCACAAGGTCAGGAGATCGAGACCGTCCTGGTCAACATGGTGAAACCCTGTCTCTACTAAAAATACAAAAAATTAGCTGGGCATGGTGGTGCGTGCCTGTAATCCCAGCTACTCAGGAGGCTGAGGCAGGAGAATTACCTGAACCCAGGAGGCGGAGGTTGCTGGTGAGCCTGAGATCACGCCATTGCACTCCAGCCTGGGTAACAAGAGCGAAACTCCGTCAAAACAACACAAAAAACAAAAAACAAAAACAAACAAAAAAAAACCACACTGGCTATAACTGTGAAAGGAATGTATCTTGGGCCCCAAAATCACTAAGCTAAAGGGAAAATTCAACCTGGAAACTGCTTAGAGCAAACCTGCCTCCCGCTTGATTTGAAGTCACCCCTCTGCTCACTGAAATAAATGCACATCTGATTGTCTCCTTTGAAGAGGCAAATCAGAAACTCAGAAGAATGCTGCCATTGGTCTCTTATTTACCTATAACCTGGAGGCTCCCTCCTGACTTTGAGTTGTCCTGCCTTTCCAGACTGAACCGTTGTTCATCTTACACATGTTGATTGATGTCTCATGTCTCCCTAAAACGTATAAAACCAAACTGTGCTCTGACCACCTTGGGCACATGTCATCAGGACCTCCCGAGGCTGTCATGGGCCTATGTCCTCCACCTCGGCCCAATAAACTTTCTAAATTAACTGAGGCCTATATCAAACTTTCGAGGTCTGCATGATCATGACTATGGGAGAAAAAATGGTCAGACACTCAGTAAATTCTTCAACGCACACACTCAACACATTCCCTTTCATCTGAGGCTCAAACACTTGCACAAATGTTCTTCAGTTCTTTCCTTGTTCCATCTTCCTTTCTCTCATGGACTCTAGAATGTTTAAACTCTAAAATCTTTGTCTTTGTATAATTTCTAAGTTTCTGCGTATCTTGGAGACTGAGACATCATGTTCTTGCTGACTAAATCATGTTTGTCTCATTCTACTGATTCAATATATTCTATTTTTACCAACGAAAGATAACCGAATATCCTCAATATGCATGCCCTTATTACAGGATACGTTTTCTCGTGGTTACTATTTATCCATGTCTCTTTATTTTAATTCATGTCTCTTCCCACAGTGCTTCCTCCCTGAAAAGAGCTAGGTGTCCACAATGCTCCCCTGAAATGTAGGTGGGGGTTCTCTGTTGACTCACGCACGTTAGTCTCTCACATAAGTGAGTGACTCATGTTGCAATCGATACCACCTTAGAATTAACATTTCCTGTCCTCCTTATGCATTCTGTTTGTTTCTCTAAACTTCTGCTTTACTTGAAATCTGCTAATATCCTTCACGTCTCCATAACTTTGTCGGGATTTAGTGATCACTCGTTTATTCAGCAGCCATTTGTTGTGTGCTTTCTGTGTGTCTACGACAGCTCTGAGCACTGGGGATATAGCAGAAAGCACACCAAAGTGTGCGTGCGTGTGTGTGTGTGTGTGTGTGTGTGTGTGTGTTTGTATAAAATGTGGCTTATAAAAGTCTGGGCATGGTGGCTCATACAAGGCTGGGCATGGTGGCTCATGCCAATAATCCCAGGGAGGGCAAGGTGAGTGAATTACCTGAAGTCAGGAGTTGGAGACCAGCCTGGCTACCATGATAAAGCCCCGTCTCTGCTAAAAATACAGAAATTAGCCGGATGTGGTGGCAAGTGCCTTTAACCCCAGCTACTTGGGAGGCTGAGGCAGGAGAATTGCTTGAACCTGGGAGACAGAAGTTGCAGTGAGCTGAGATTGCGCCACTGCACTCCAGCCTGGGCAACAGAGCAAGACTCTGTCTCAAAAAAGAAAATAAAAGAGAAGAGAAGAGAAGAAAAAAAAGAAATATACTCCCACCTGGGCAACAGAGTGAGACTCTGTCTCCAAAAAAAAAAAAAAAAAAAGAAAAAAGAAAAAAGAAATATGTAGTACTGCTGAAAAGAATTGTGTAGACCTCCAGTATGCCAATATAGAATGACTTCTGGGGAACAGTTTAAGGGAAAATAAGTAAAAAGAAGCATACTATGTATAGTGTGTTTCTGTTTGCATAGGGAGAGAAATAGATAAACATGGTGTTTGCTTAGGAGAGTTCTGGAGGAGGGGCGAGAAATTGGAAATAATGTTTGATTGCTAGGTTGGGCCAGGTAGATTGGGGATCCACGTGGGTAGGTGACTGATTTTTCAATATTTCTTTTACACAGTTTGATATTTTAAAAAGTATGATGACTCATATGCATACATACATAGTAAAATACATTTTTTTTTTCTGCAAAATCTGGATAATAGAAAGTACTTCCCAGGTGTATCTGACATCTTTTCTACACCATCTCAGGTGTAGTTGGCCTCACCTATCTCCAGGAATGTTGCCCATTTGGTCTGGGACAGCTCTCAGCTCTGCATGGGTACACTGGCTCCTGAGTTTGCAACAATTCAGTGCCTCACCTTATGGTTCCCCTTTGAGTCTCCTACTTCCTGCCCTGAGTTTTCTATCTTCACATCCTTTCAGGCTTAGGTACAGCAGGAAGGAGAAAGTTGGCTTCTCTTATAGCTCAAACAAGTACTAGGACTGAATCTTACTGACTTGCT